ATTTCCCTTCACCCGCGGTCCCCAACCCACATAGTCGTATTAACAGCTTATAGTATTACTAGCCATACCAGCCCACTAGCCCCCTATATTTCTTCCACTAGCCCTGTCCCAGGGAACAAGACCAATAAGGCAGTTCTTTGTACAAAACACCGCATAGTCACGTAACTCGCACCAAACATTACATACATGTGAAATTTCTTTAACATCCAAAAACATCCACCATGGGTCTCAAAGTTGGTTCACCCAGTTTTAACATACGCTACGGTACCAAAGATACACTCTAAAAGCAGAAAAAGACAACAGTCTTCCACTCACATTTTTTTAGTCCAGACCAATCGGACCTAATCATTTATAACTTTTTACCAAAATCATACAACGTTTATAAAGCATAACAACGCTTTACTCACGCCAACACAGTCTCACTACAACCATAAAGTTACCACACTCAAAAAACATGCTTCCTAACAGCAGTATTCTCTGCTAATCTCACACATAAAGTGTTAAGCCCAGCCAAAAACGTGGAACCTTCCATCAACAAGGTACCATACAGAATCTTCCCAACAGACCTCAACCCAAAATAGAATAGAAACACTCATGAACAATGAGCCCCGAAAAATGAAACGTAACACAGCACCCATAAAATACAAAATTCAGCGTAAAGAAAACCGAAAGACGCGATCTAGGACAAGCAGAGGATGAAGGGAGAGGAGAGAGAATACACGACAAAGACTAAAGAAAGTTAGGACAAAAAGGAACAGCAGAGGGAGAAGAGCGGAAGCGAAAACGAAAAACAACCAACAACCATCCGTTAGTAAAAAATGAGAAAAAACAGACGAGGAGCGATCCCAACACTCCATACATAAAAAGCATCACGCTACCAACAAGAACACAAACCCATCACAAATTAACTAGTGTGCCACACGACTCGAGCAATTGATATGTGACATAAGCGGAGAGCCTGACAATCAATAGTCCCCAAATGACCGCACGAAAAAAACTACACTGGAAACAGAATATAGAGCAAATTGGACAAAGCAAGAATTGAATCGGGCAATTCAAAGCGCCCCACGGATCGCGAAGGCGTCGTCTCTGTACCATAAAACCGTGAATCCATAGCCAGGAAGAGCAGTCGACACAAGCACACACACACTCACCACAACTCTAAATAGCAGTGAACAACGAATCACCCAACGAAATCCATCAAATATACCCAGACACAACCGCTATACCACAAAGCAACACTACTCAACTGATGCGAGCCCTACTGGAAGACATCCACCTCATACCTAACCCCTCTCTGACTACGACGGAAAGTTCACGTCCCAGGAGACCCATTATAGGGATTGAAACTACCAGAACGCCCTTCACAACTACGCTATACCTTCGGAACCAGCGGCATTCCAGTGATAGAGTCTATGACCGCGTGAGACAGTAGGGAGTTCATCTAGATCGTACAGTCACGGCAATGAAACACTTCCACATGGACAAAAAGTGCATGATGTTTTCTTGATAACCTAAAAACAACTAAAACCATCTACACAAGAAATAACATACAAACAGTGACTGTGCGACGCGGCACAGAGATCCATCGACAAGTCACACACAACACAACTCCGTATAAAAACCCAAATACACAGCACCGTAACTGATCTCTTTCGAAGACTCACTCTAAGTTAATCATCCCAGACTCGAATTCAGCACGATCACGAACCATTATTCCACAGACGATCGGGCTGTACCAATGAGATTGCATACAGAAGACACAACCTGTAATGATAAGGCACTTACTGTACCGACACTGCGCTCTCATGCTTTACATCGGATCCTCTTCTCCATGGACGAAGTACCATTCTGTAATGGATTGTGAAAGGTCCACCTCCTTATCACTATCAATCTGTTTTTCATATCGTTGGTCCCCTACGCAAGACTCTCAATAGACAATCTTTCCTTCGTACGCCTCCGAGTAAAACGACGATCGGCTATCACTCCATCCTTTGGGGGACACCAGCTGTGGACGGGTCGTTCCACATACCACCAACGAATCAGTCAAAACCTACAAAAACCTTCTTAGCTAGCCATCATACCACGAACTAGAATCGACAAAAGGCGCATCTCGGAACCTTGTCCACACCGCCAGCCGAACCACCATTTTTACGAGCCCACGCAAGTACTCACAGTTAACACAAACAGACTATCTAGTAAATCACCTACCTAAAATTTATCACTACCTCTAACACCACCCACCAAAACAACACATAGAACGACTATAAGTTACGGACCCTTATCTCGAAGAATTTTCTTGATACAATCAAATTGACAAAAAAAACAAGTCGAACTCTACCCTGACTTAAACAAGACAAAAACCTGTACACAAAGTTTGGAGACCAGTCAGTGAACCAGGGACCAAATTCTTTAATGGTACACCTAGTAAATTAGACAAAACACAGACAACACACAAGCAGACAACAACACACAACAGCAGACAACAACAGAACAAGACCACCCAGGACAGAACACCAAACAAAGCAAGAACAAGCACCAGACAACAGACAGGAACCACAGACACAAGTCAGCCAGAGCGGGGGCGAGCGCTGAGAACACCTAGTCACAGACACACACCTCCAACTACAGACACACTAACAACTACTATATGGGTCTCTTTCTGTACGGAACGAGGACACTGGTCTGATACGGACTGTTTGACTCTTGTGTGCGGAGCTCTGCGTACACGGGACACACGAGAGACTAAAGCGACAGCAATCGTGTGTGGTGTGTTGAGCTGTGTCGTTGGGTAGCTGCGTAGAGACGTAAATGTAGACAGTGTGTGTGGGATATGTCGTAGTATGTCTGTAGTCGACAGTAAACGGGACCTTCTAAGACTAGGACTAACGTTACACAACGAGCCTCATCCTTTCAGAAATCAAACGTAACAGAAAAGACGTAATTCCTAGTACTATTTAAGCATTGAATTTATCCGTGTTATAAATTGACATAAAAAATGTCTGATGTTCCCGACTTGTCGAAACATAATCTGGAACATCTCAGAAGCCAGCTGTCACCACCTGAGACGGTCAAGCGACTGTCGGTACGAAGTAGACAGCAACGACGTCCCAGCAACGCATGAAACTACAGGCCCGAGAGAGTCACTCGATCCTCTCCTGACAAAACACCTCGACTCCTGACTCCTGTCTCGAAAGTGTCGACAGAAACCCTGTTACTTGTACGCCCGAGTTCGATTCCATGTCTACCCAGTACATCATTCTAGACTATAGCGACATTCACGCCTCCAACTTCTTACATGTTGAACCCAAATACCTGTACTTTCTACTTCTCACATTTTCCAAACAGGCTGGTTCCTTTAGTTTGAATGTGTGTTTGGTGGCGTGATCATTATTATTTAGAGTCATTGCGTGCCTATTGATTTGAACACGATCCGTGTATCCATCATTTCCTGGTCTTCTCTAAAGAAGAGGGACCAATGAAAACGTTGTCATGTTGCCGTTGTTCAGCATGGAAACATTCATTAGCTAACAATGACATTATTGTTCTATTAATATAAAGGGAGGTCAGGTACTCTTTAAAACAGCTGCTAGTTATGGGTACTTTTTACTGAAGTACATTTCAAAGTTCTTTACTTTGACTTGAGTAAAGAAGTTTAGTCAGTACTTCTACTTTCACCAGAGTATTTTTAAACACGAGTATCTGTACTTCTACTTGAGGAAAGGATGAGTGTACTTTAGTCATCTTGTGAGAAGTGAGCAAAGTCTAATATGATGAAAGATGATTGGAGACAGAGAGGGAACATTGTTTCTGCATCAAGAGAACATGGTGAGAAGCTGAACAGAATACTAAGTCCGAAGCAGGGGATTTTAATCAAAGTAAAATCACTTTTAAATAACACTCTCCGTCTCTAGGAGAGAATTGTAGCAAATAATTAGTTTCAGCATCTTGGCTTTCGTCTGTCTTCATTTACCTCTAATGTGACCTAACTCAAAAATATGGCAATGTCTCTCACACTGTTTTCAACCAGCTGAATTACAGGAGAGACTTTTAAAGGCCACCAAAGACGCATCAATCTACTAACTTTCGTACCGTGCGATGAGTGCTTTTTAAAGATGAATTGGTTAGAGAATATTGAGAGGTATCTTCCTTTCTCTCTCCGTGCACAAGTCCCTATCTCTGGTGATATTATTGTGTCTTATTACTAAAGTTTTTCACATTGTTTTGACAGTTTTCTTGAGTATGTCTTGTCGATTCCTCTGCTGCTGTTTGGATGACTCATAAATGTCTCCTCGCTCTAGATTGGTGTTCAAATGTGTTTGTTAATGCGGTCATTAGTATGCAGAGGACGCTACTTCTGCAACACAGTTGTCAACACATCAATATTTACTGAGGCACCTTTATTATCTCAAGCTGTAACTCAAAAATCAGATCAGATATTATTACTTAAAATGATAGATCATTGACTTTGGAAATGCATTAATTACATGTTTAACATAATATGCATTTAATTAAACTGAAACATATTTAAATTAACACAAACAAAATGTAATAAATTAAATAAGAATAATTATATTATAGTGCATTGCTACAACTCCTCAATACATATTCAACAACATATATTTGGTAACATATTCTAGTCATCAACTAGTCATACTGCTATAAAGGAAAGGCAGTTTGTGCTCGATTTATTAATGCAAAATACCATCGTAAAGTTAATTATATCGGATTGTAATCTTCTTTCTTCTTTCCAGTTTTTATTACCTGAGGCTCCTGTCCAAAATTAAACCAGTTTGATCCTTTTTAGACTTTGAGCGTGTAATTCATGCCTTTGTTTCTACGCGTCTAGATTACTGCAATGCACTTTATGCCGGCCTAAACAAGACCTCTCTGGCACGCCTGGAGCTGGTTTACAACGCTGCGGCTCGGCTGCTTACAGGAACACGCAAGCATGAACACATCACACCAATTCTGGCTTCCCTCCACTGGCTTCCCTCCACTGGGTTCCCTCCACTGGCTTCCCTCCACTGGGTTCCCTCCACTGGGTTCCCTCCACTGGGTTCCCTCCACTGGGTTCCCTCCACTGGGTTCCCTCCACCGGGTTCCCTCCACCGGGTTCCCTCCACCGGCTTCCTGTCCATTTTAGAGTTCATCTCAAATCTCTTAATGGGCTGGCCCCAGAGTACATCTCAGACCTCCTACAGGTGTGCACCCCCTCAAGGGCTTTGAGGTCGGCTGATCAGCTGCTGCTGGTAGTCCCAAAAACTAGGAAACAGACCAGGGGAGACCGAGCCTTCTCAGCGGTAGCCCTCAGGCTCTGGAACGACCTGCCCCCCCCATGCCAAATTCAAATGTTTAAGTCCCGCCTGAAGACCCACCTCTTTTCCCTCGCTTTCGAGTCAGTTTGAGCTGTTTTATCGATTGTTATGCTTTTATTTGTCTGTCCATAGCCCTTATGTGCCTTTGATCTATTCTTATGTGTGCCTTTTATCTATTATTGTAATAATATATTTTATTATAATGTTATGTCTGCTGTGAAGCGCTTCGGTAAACCCTCTGTTTTAATATGTGCTATATAAATAAAGTGGATTGGATTTCTTATTTTTTTTTTTTACATTCGATCAGTCAGCCAGCCCAAATAGTCTTGTAGTCCAATTTTAAATATATATATTTCCAACTCTCTTCTTTTTGTTCCCGACAGATTCCACCCTGACTTGAAGCTGTCGGAGGCGCAGGGTGTGAGTCTGCGGGCGCTGCACCCCCCCGCCGCGCTGCACGACTGCCTCCAGAGCATCGTGTCTGCAGCGGGTCACAGATCCGTCACCTCCGCCCTCTCCAGGCTCAGATTATATCTGCTGATGGAGCACCTCGCCCTGCCGCACACCCCCACCCTCAGCTGCAGGGACACCCTCACCTCCCTCGGCTGGCAGGCAGCAGTCACCAGGTACACTGCACACACATTATATTAAAGAGTTTATTTAATTTGCTTAGATATTCAACCTTTGACACAGTTCATCATGTTCTCCTCTCACTGTCTCCTTTCCCACGGCATAGGTCTACGGCCTGGGGTATTGCTGCTATCTCTCTTAAGGAGGGGCAGCTTGGGCGCATTGTTGATGCCAGTCTATGTCAGAGCACAAGCTGACATGAGTGACTGACATTCTTTTCTATGGACGAGAGCTCTAGTTAGATTCAGGGTCCATATTGCTTTAGTCTCGCTGATGAGGAATGTTGATTATTACACTCTGAACTAGTTAAAACCTTGAGCTACAGAAGAGTTCTTCAGAATTGGTTTGACATCCGCTGTGTCACCTCGTGGCACACCACCTGTCTTGTGAATTCTCCGGCCGAAGCTCCAAAGAAACCCTCAGTGTTTGCCATCAAAGCTCCAGCTCTCCCCGTGTCTCTCTGAGTCTCCATTGCGTCAGAAGTTTCCATCACAAATATGTCTGGTTAAAGTTTATTAATCAAGCCAACATGGGGGGGATGTATGAAATGACTTATTATTCCTGCTGCTGAAGTACACAAAACTCACTGTGAAATGTTTCCATGGCTCAGTGTGTCTTGTTGTCATATTTTAAAGGTTTGACATGGATTGATTGAGTTTAATGCCTTTTTCTGTTCACAGTGAGTATTTAAGCTTCCCTGAAGAAGTATGACAAACGCTTTTATTCCCCTTAATCAAGTGCAAATCTGTACAGAGACACAACTCAGGCGTAAAGGTGGCAGTCTGTGGATTTAAGCATCTTCTGAATGCCTTTGTTCCCTTTCTCTTAAGATTAAGAAAGAGAAAAGGGGCTTGGATATGAATGGATGAATATGACACAGAGTTGAATGACAATTTTTTGAAATTTGCAAAATCGACAAGTGTAATATTCAATAGCAGGACGCACAATATGTGTTAAAATACCATCTTGAATAAAGTATTGTGGAGCTGCACGGATATCCCGGCCTAATAAAGTTATTCAACAGAGCATCATAATTTAAATATACTGTATATCTTTCAATGATAATGACATGTATGATTAAGAAATGATCAATCCTTCCAATATTGAAAATCATATCGCGATGGCAGTTATAATAATCTCAATAAATGTTTGTTTTTCACACCCTGCAGCCCTAATATTGAGATATAACTGAGATGTATTATTTAAATGGCTGTGTCTCTTCCTCCCTGCAGGTTCCTCCAGGTGCGTCCAGCCTGTGTGGACGATGAGAGGTTGCTCGTGGGTATCGTTGCATTTTTGAATGCCTACTTCAACCCCTCTGAGTCTGCATCTGATCCAGAGGACCAGGACCTACGCTGGATCCTGGAGCTGCTTCTCAACCAGGTACAAATAATTCACATTTTCTGGTAGATAGATAGATAGAGAGAAAGAGAGATAGATAGGTAGGTAGATAGATAGATAGATAGATATATGGATGGATAGATGGATAGGTAGATGGATAGATAGATAGATAGATAGATAGATAGATAGATAGATAGGTAGGTAGATAGATATATGGATGGATAGATGGATAGATGGATAGATGGATAGGTAGATAGATAGATAGATAGATAGATAGGTAGGTAGATAGATAGATAGATGGATAGGTAGGTAGATAGATAGATAGATAGATAGATAGATAGATAGATAGGTAGGTAGATAGATATATGGATTGATAGATGGATAGATAGATGGATAGGTAGGTAGATAGATAGATAGATAGATGGATAGGTAGGTAGATAGATAGATGGATAGATGGATCGGTAGGTAGATAGATAGATAGATAGATACGTAGGTAGGTAGATAGATAGATAGATGGATGGATACTGTAGATAGGTGGGTTGGTGGGTGGACGGACGGATAGATAGATGGAAGAAGCACTTTATTGATCCCAATTTGGGAAATGTTTGCGTTGCAGCAGCATAAAGAACAAGGCAATGCACAAAAGAGAAATTAAGACACTAGAAATAAACAGTCCAAAATATTTCAGAAATAGAAATAAAATAGCATTAAAAAATATACATGTGGAAATACAAATTTCCAGGAACAAAATATAATACAGGATATTATATATGCATTAATCGGTAGAGCAGGAAAGTAAAATCCTCATGTGTTTCAGTGTGGTTGTAGTTTAGAGAATATGCAATAACTCTACTGTACTGGAATGTAAAAGATGTGTGTGTGCATATCTGGTAGCTAGTAATCTGGTTACTCTGCTCTCCAACACAGAGGGTGATATACCTGTAATCAAACCGTGAATGAATCATACGCCGGCAGACAAGCTGAACACATTATTACACTCTCATAACGACAGAAAATAGTTCCCTCTCAGACCCGCGGCACACATTATTTTCTCAGCTCTTAAAACAAAGTTGGATTCATATTTTTTGCCCGAGGCGGAGAAAATCATCTCACAGTTTTAGCACTCAGAGCTACTTTTAGGATTTAATCAGTCTCAGCTTGGTTTTCTCATTAATGTGTGTGTAAACAATAAGGCCTCCCCTGGCGGTGTAGGCAGACTCAGATTGAACGCCTGGTAGGGGTGAGCGGCTCTGCTTTACTTTACTTTCTGTAATTACTGAGCTGGTTCAAGAACATCTGTCTCTCTCTACACTTATAATAACTCTCTACTCCATGTGCAACGCTCAGGAAGACATTCTGCATGTTTCTTAATCTTGTTTCGAATATGAATTTTGCAAAGGGTCGGGTAATGGAATAAAAAAGGATGTGTTTTGCTAAAATACACCTGTCAGCATCCTCCACTTCTTCCCTCCATGGGTCAGTTTGTTGGTATTTAGAAAGGTTGGCAGATTAATTATATAAATGTATACAGGTAATGCTAATCCAAGGCCGTTCCTCAATGTCGAGGAGGCTTGCTCGGTAGCACATGTATGCTGGGCATTTAAACAGTCCTTCGGCGCCACTCGATGACGTAGCATGCTTGAAATAGTGGCTCTGGAGCAGCTTTCCTCGACTTTGAGAAACGGCCCAAGTTAATAATCCTCCTGAACAAATGGATTCACCGTCAAAAGCTGTCAGTGAAGTTAACAAAGAACACAAAGGCATACAAATACCAGGAGAACACATTTAGAAAACTGGCCAAAACTAATATTTATATGTAAACGATTAAGTAAGTGTGTTTGGGATCATTGTCATGCTGAAGGACCCAGCCACGTTTCATCTCCAATGCCCTTGCTGATGGAAGGAGGTTGTCACTCAAAATCTCACGATACATGGCCCCATTCATTCTTTCCTTTACACGGATCAGTCGTCCTGGTCCCTTTGCAGAAAAACAGCCCCAAAGCATGATGTTTCCACCCCCATGTTTCACAGTAGGTATGGTGTTCTTTGGATGCAACTCAGCATTCTTTCTCCTCCAAACACGTCTAGTTGAGTTTTTACCAAAAAGTTCTATTTTGGTTTCATCTGACCATATGACATTCTCCCAATCCTCTTCTGGATCATCTAAATCCTCTCTAGCAAACTTCAGACGGGCCTGGACATGTACTGGCTTAAGCAGGGGGACACGTCTGGCACTGCAGGATTTGAGTCCCTGGCGGCGTAGTGTGTTACTGATGGTAGCCTTTGTTACTTTGGTCCCAGCTCTCTGCAGGTCATTGACTAGGTCCCCCCGTGTGGTTCTGGGATTTTTGCTCACCGTTCTTGTGATCATTTTGACCCCACGGGGTGAGATCTTGCGTGGAGCCCCAGATCGAGGGAGATTATCAGTGGTCTTGTATGTCTTCCATTTTCTAATAATTGCTCCCACAGTTGATTTCTTCACACCAAGCTGCTTACCTATTGCAGATTCAGTCTTCCCAGCCTGGTGCAGGTCTACAATTTTGTTTCTGGTGTCCTTTGACAGCTCTTTGGTCTTGGCCATAGTGGAGTTTGGAGTGTGACTGTTTGAGGTTGTGGACAGGTGTCTTTTATACTGATAACGAGTTCAAACAGGTGCCATTAATACAGTTAACAAGTGGAGGACAGAGGAGGCTCTTAAAGAAGAAGTTACAGGTCTGTGAGAGCAAGAAATCTTGTTTGTTTGTAGGTGACCAAATACTTATTTTACAGAGGAATTTACAAATTAATTCTAGAACGCCTTTATGGTTGAATATTTGAAGTAAAGATGTCGGCAATGAGGTAAAAGCACGATTAATTGTATATGGTTTAGCACCGCAACAAAGCGACCGTACGAGCGAGAAACCCAATGGACTTGACTGTTGTTGTAGCCCGTGGTGGAAGGTGTTGAGACCGAAACCGTTGGTTCGTACCTAGGGGTTGGATAGCCGGACGAGACTGATGCGACGCCGCCGTGTTTTTCATAGTAATCAGGTGCGGTGGGTTTGAAAACGTTCAAGGGAGGGTAATTTTTCCTACTCTCCGACAGGAAAAGGTAGGGATCCCAGTGAAGGGATAGTCTCTAGGTGCGGAGCCGCCCCTGGTCTTAGCGCGGAGTGTAACAGTGCC